TCTCCATCCCTTCCCCTTCAATCTCTCTCTCCTTCCTTCCTTCTCCCTTCAATCTCCTTCCTTCTCCATCTCCTTCCTTTCCTTTTCAATCTTCCTTCCTTCCCCTTCCCTCCCTCCCAACATTTTTGAGCAAGGAAGAGTAAGCTTCTCCAGCGAGCATTGCTATATTGTTTTTGTGATTAATCACTATGCTTTAATTATGTTCAATTCGTAACAATGAGAATACACCCTGCATATCAGATATTTACATTACGATTCATAACAGTAGCAAAATTACAGTTATGAAGTAGCAACAAAAATAATTTTATGGTTGGGGGTCACCACAACATGAGGAACTGTATTAAGGGGTCGCGGCATTAGAAAGGTTGAGAACCACTGCTCTAATATTTTCCTTGTGGGGGTGTATGATGTCTGGGAAGAAGCAAAAGAATTAGCCTCTTCAGAAGGAGCTGGAGATCCAATTAAAGATGCTTCAGGATGGATAAGTTTTACTTGATTGTAATCAGGAGGGGGGCTGGTAGTTAATTGCTGCCCTTCTGAAGCATTTTTCCACTGCTTGATGGCACTGATACCATCGATGTAAGATCTTTACTGGAGCCCGGGGTTCAAGATGTAAAGTATGCCCTATCTTTACCCAATCTCATAGCCTAAGCGTCCCGTGCTCAGGATACCAAGGGCAGTGTTTCCCTATCTCCTCCACCAGCTTCCTTATGTCTACCTCAGGCACTGTCACGCCTGATTTATGTAGCAGGAATCTGAGTTCCTGTGCCTGTTTCTGCTGGTGCTGAGATAACTTGCGGCCCATACTTACCACTGAGGGGTCCTAGAGGACGAAAGTGCACTTAGGGGTCTATTCCAGACGATGGTAAGTATGTTGGTTGCCGCTCCTTCCCTGGGGGGGTCCCAAACGTCCCTGTTCGGGCAGCCAGCTGAAGGAATCAGTGCTCAGTCATTGCAGGGTGCAAATATGGCTGACCGCCTTCGCAGCGTTTATTCTTTTATACAGTTTTCTAAGCAGCAAAAGTTTAACATGGCAATAATGTAGCAATAGCATTTTATTGGTTAAACTCCTTACCAATCCTTAAGAATATACAAGCCAGGAGGCCCCAAACAGGGAGCAGTTTGCTGCAACATCCTGTTGGTGTAACTTAGCTGATATCAGGCAGGTGAGGTCATTGTACCAGCCTGGGGTAGTTTCCCACATTGCCATAGTGATGTGAAGGGATGAGATCATGTAGAGAAAAGAGGCATGAAGGCTTTGGAGGGGCAGTTTGCTGCTCACGACCTCAACCTGGCCCCTATCTCTACATCTCCCGTTGACTTTGCTTGCCAGAAAGTCACAAAAGCTGATCACATGACCCCCAGACACTGCAACCATCATAAATATCAGCCAGTCCGCCAAGCTTTTGAATTTTGATCACGTGACCTTGGGGATGCTACAACAGTTGTAAGTGTGAAAATCGGTCCTAAGTGACTTTTTTTCAGTGCCGTTGTAACTTTGAAAAGTCACTAAATGAACTGTTGTAAGTCAAGGACTATTTGTACTGCACTGTGCCCTGTCCATCTTCAAATGTAACTGAGTTCCACAGCTGATTTATTGAGCAAGCCAAAGTCAGTCTTCCCAGCAAGCAGATTAAAAAAGGCCTGGTTTGTTCAGCCAATGACTAGTTTTATTTTCCCTTGCTTCTATCATTTCTCAGGTGGTATTCCAAGTATATTAGACAAGTTAAGAACAATAAGGTTTTTATATGGTGAGGGGGTTTTTTTCTCCACACATTAGTCAATTTTGCCTGTGTGCTGTGGACTTTTTTGTAAATGAGCATTTTTGAGGTTTACCTCTATTTATAGTTGGTGTGAGTCTGCTTCTGAGTTTGAAGCATGTGGGTTTTTTTCTGCTTTTGTGGGGATTATTGGGGGATAGGTCTGTCATTTTTGTTTTTCTTTTGTGGGTGCATATTTTGGTAGCATTGTGGGGATTGATATTTGTTGGGTTTTGTGGGGGATAGTTGTGGAATATCATGCAAGACGTGTGTCTTTTTTTTAAAATGTCACTAAGTCCCCTGATGGGAGATGAGTTTTTCTGGGGGCTTGTATGTGGTTTGGCATTTGGGGACACGATCTTTAGGGGTTTAAATGAAGAGCAAAAAAGGACAGATTAAGGAGTGATATCTTTTAAAGCTATTTTTGCTTTGTTCAATAAGAGATGCATAGGGATGACAGCAGACCAGGAATAAATGCTAGGCTTAGAATGACAAGCATAATTTATCAACAGCTTCCATTTTAGATTTCTTGCCCAAACTAAACCTTGGTTTAATGTCTTGAATGAATTAAAATCTTTGGTAATGCTGCTTCATGATTCCTGTGAGAAATATAAGTGGCAATCCAACTCAAGGTATTCTGACAAGGTCCCCCTTAACCTGGAAGCAGCCAAGATACTGTTCTGTCCTTGTTTTTCTTAAGCTTGTGAACTCTAAGATGTATGGACTTCAATTCTCAGAATTCCCCAGCTAGCATCTTAAAGGTTGAGACACACTGTATTAGATAATCACAGAAGAAAACTGGGTGTTCCCGAGCCACAGTTTTCAGGGTTGTGAGCCAAGTCTTGTCTTTTAAAATGGAATCTGTTTTAAATTACCAGCAGTCTTTTCCTCTTCCTTCATAAAGTGTTAGGTGACATTATACCTTTACTTAGCAGGAGCCACTGTACTCAATCCTTTCCTTGGCAATCAATAATATAAAAACAATGCATCCATGTTAGATGACCAATAAGGGAAAATATATGTAGCTCAGGGTTGAAATGAGAGGGTCTTTGATACTCTCTGAGCTTGGTTGTTTTCTTGCAGATGTTTCATTACCTAGTCCAGGGGTAGGCAACCATGGCTCTTTTATGACTCGTGGACTTCAACTCCCAGAATTCCTGAGCCAGCCATGCTGAGGGGAAAGAGAGAGGTTTCCAAGCTGAGCCATGCTGGTTCAGGAATTCTGGGAGTTGAAGTCCATGAGTCATAAAAGAGCCAAGGTTGCCTACCCCTGACCTAGTCCAGGGCTTTTCAACCAGTGGTACGGGTACCACTTGTGGTACATTGGCACCTGGCAGGTGGTACGCGACCATCCTAGAAAAGTGGTAGCGGGGGAGGGGAATGAGCTGAACCGGTGGCAGCACCGCAAAAGCCTGAGTGAGAGATGGCTGGAGCTGCAGGGCTGTCAGGGCTCAGCGGGAGCGCCAGGATCAGCGCCAGGCTCCAGCTGGAGCTCGGCGCTGATCCTGGTGCTTCTTCTGAGCCCAGAAGAAGCACCGATCAGCTGGAATGTTGCAGTATCTCCAGGGTCTTGTGATTTACATTCAGATGCTTGGCAACTGATTCATATTTATGACGGTCACAGTGTCCCAAGGTCATGTGAAATGACCAAAACCTGCTGCAACCACTCAGAAGACGGGGGGAATAAAAACCAAACACCCCCCCACCCCATCCCCGCTGCCAATTCTCAACAGAAATGCTCACAACAATGAAAACCTCGGACAGGAGGAAGAGCGCCGCCGGGCGGGCAGGCAGGTGTCTTGCTCGGCTGTGGCTTGGGGGGCACTTTTTTCAGTGCCATTGTAACTTCGAACAGTCACTAAGCGAACTGTTGTAAGCCGAGGACTACCTGTACTTTATCACTTTTTTCCTTTTTTGGGGGGGGTCATCAAGTTTTTGACATCTTGCTAGGTGACTAGTGGTACTTGGATATTGCCATATCCTAAAAGTGGTACAATGGGTGAAAAAGTTGAAAAGCCCTGACCTAGTCTATCATTAGTCTGACTAGTATGGATGATATTACCTAGTTTGGGTAATGAAACAAATGCAAGAAAACAGCCAGGCTCAGAAAGCACCAAAACCCACTCATGTTCGAAAAGGTTGCATCGGATTTATTTATTTTTTATCACATTTTTATTAGTTCATCAAAATATAAAATACAAAAGGAAATTCAAAAAAGTAATAGAAAACTAGTAGGAGGGGGAGGGAAAAAGGAAAAAAAATGGTGTAAAGAGGAAAAAGTAAAGAAAAAGGCACTGACTTCTAACTCTCTTTAGCACAGTAGAAAATAACAACATTATAACCTCAACTTTTTACTTTTACGCAGCAGTATATACTAGCCATTTTTATAATAACAAACCTATCTAATTAGCAAAGACAAAATCAAAGTTTCTTTTTTTTTTCATTGCCAGCTCAAAATCCAGAAGCAATTTCCAAATAGAAACAAAATTAAATATATTCTCCTCTTTGGGTAAAAGAATCAGTTTGACCATCTCTGCTTCTCCTAGCTGTGGAGAATAATATAAACTTCTGTTTACTCATTAATCTTTATCATAATTTATATTAAAAGAATTCCCTATGCTATTTCAATTTTTTTTTCTAACCCTGAAGGGAGAAAAGGTTGCATCACATTTATGATACTGACACTAGCTGAGAGAGAGTGTTTGAGAATGTACTCTAAATTCACAGAGTAAGGCCTATTCAAGAAACTTAAAAAGAGTGTTTGCCATGAATCAAATGCTATGCATCAGGGAGGATCCTACAAGGAAGAGGTATAAACATTCCAGAACAAACAGGAGGAAGAGGAGAAAATTTTTATTACATTTTATTAAATTTATATATAAAATTCTATTTATTTATTAAAATTTTATGCCACCCTTCTCCCCTAGAAGATGACTCTGGACTCTAGTGTAAAGCTGCAAAGGTTTTGAAAGTCTCAGTCCTAAATCAGTACAGCTCTATTCGCTTTATTGCTTTATTGTTCTATTCATCTACATAGCATTAATATCCAAACAACTTCAACAGTGTTTTCTTTAGTGTTTTGCTACGTTTGGACCGTCCTTTTAAAGTCCGTCTTGTAGGAGGTTGTTGAAGTGGGTGTCTCCTAACTGATGGGCCACCACCATGTCTCTTTTTGTAGCCATCTGTTGTCTGGTAAACAAACATACAATGGCATCATAATGATGTTGATTCTTTCACAAACAGGGTTCTGGCCTTGTGGAATGGGCTTCTGCTGGGAATCTGAAGAGGACATGGGTGAATTACGGAATTGATAAACATTGTTGGAGAGATCACGAAGAATCAGGAGAAGAATTTCTCTACCAGGCCACCCAGTGTAAAAGTGTCTGGATGCCTATGGGTGACATATTTGCCAACTGAGCTTCAGGGAGGTAATTGGGAGGTGGGGCAGGGTAAAAAAACCCACCCCTATTGTTGATAATAAAAGAGCATTTCTCCATTTTGTTTAAACTGGTATCAAGCCGTTTTGAATGGAATTGGTGGTTCTTTCTGTGTATTTTCCCTTAGCAAATTCGCATTCCTGGTGAGACAACACAGCCTCCCTCCCATGTATCCTCATCCATCCTCAGGTTAAGTGTCATGTTAGGCAACTGTTAGGCAGTGTGGGGCTATCCTTAATTCTTTTGAAAGGAGAAGGGCCACCCTAGGCTGTAGGAAGAGCCATAGTAGCCAAAAAATCACAAGGAATTTCCTAGCACCTTTTTCAGACTACTGTAATGAATAAATGCCTAAGCTGTTGACAGTTGAACATAACTTCATCAGATGCATGGATGGATAAAGCAGTGTTTCTCAACCATGGCAAAGTGTGAACTTCAATTCCTAGAATTCTAAGCCAGCCGTTCCCCATGCTGGCTGAGGAATTCTGGAAGTTGAAGTCCACACATCTTAAAAGTTGTCAAGGTTAAGAAATAATGGGCTAAAGTGACATGGAATTTATAGCAGGATGTGGCAGAGGGAGGGAGGGGAAAAGACAGGATGATTAGTATACAGGTGATGGAGCTGCAAAGTGGTTGAGATGGATTTTTGGAAAGGGGGATTCTGGTGGATTTATCAGGTAATTTTACAGGGTTTCTTTGTTTTTGTAGAATTTGCAACTATCCCATTTTATGGCTTACAGTACAGTATTCACACTTTTCTCACTGGGCACCACCTGTTGGCAACTGTGCTGAGAGGAGCCTGCAAGGTCTATGGAAAAGACTAGTCGTCAGAAGCTCCAATGTGTCTCACATTGCTTAGTCCAAGAATAGACTGTTACCCAGTAAAAAAGGTCAGATTTAGGATTGCCAAATGAGATATTTCAGGAGCTGGATTAATTTCTCAAATGTGTGTCTCTTATCCAAGCTTAGTCTAATTGCAACTGAGTTAATTATAACTTAAAAGAGAGCCAAGTTGGAAAAGATGGATGATTATTGCCTTTTTTTGTAACAAAAATTGCCACTTCCTATTCAGCTCAACACAATATTCTTTGTAAACTTTTTTTTTCATCACTCAGCTTAGGGAAGGGAGAGAGAGACATAGTTCAGTGGTAATATGATTTATTGTGTTCAGAAAGTTCCTGGTTGTCATCTGTGATATCTCTATTCACTTGTTCATCAAATGTCGAGGTCATTGAACTCCAGAATAACTCTGAGCCACTTCACAATTAAAATAAGATAGAAAACAGTATCAAATAAGAACATCAACTCCAATGGAAGGGAATATACATAGCTCAGGGTTGAACTATGGAGTGCTTGGTGCTCTCTAAGCTTGGTTGTTTACAGATGTTTCATTACTAAACTAGGTAGCATCATCAATGCAAGTAAGTGGGGGTGAGAAGTGAAATGTCTTCAAAGAAAAACAAAGTCCAGTTGCCTCGTCAAAAAGCACCTTTGGGATAACTACGATCTGGATGACTGAGAATCTCCATAGACATTCAGCCATCAATAGACACACAGAGATAAAACACATTTACGCACCATTCAAAAGAGACAATAAAAAGTTAAGCAGGAAAGAGATAGGAACACATCCTCTCCAGCAGCCAACACCAGATAAGCAGGGTTTAATACCAATCAGGCAGAAAACAATACCCTAATCAAGGAACTATCAAGGAGAAAAACCACGCCTCCATCCAAACAGGCAAGTTACTGTATATAAACAGAGAACAAATAATTACGCTCACTAATAATGTTACTTAAAATGTTGAGGATCTGCTGTCATGCTGGCTGAGGAGTTCTGGCATCCTAAAGTTGCCAAGATTGAGAAACACTGGATTAGACTGACCAGGGATGTACATTAGCTTAAGGCCATATTGCAGTGTTAATTTTTTCAGTTTTAATTTTATTATTTTTCCATATTTCTAGTACTTACACCTGTGGAGACCTTGGTGCTCTCTTAGCTTGGTTGTTTTCTTGTATATGTTTCATTACCCCACTAGGTAATGTGATGATGTTACTTAGTTGGGTAATGAAATGTCTACAAGAAAACAGCCAAGCTGAGAGAGCACCAAGGATTCAATAATGCAACCCAGAGCTACAAATATTCTCTTCTATTGATAGTACTTATCTTCACCGCCCAGAGGCCTTGATATTTCAGACATTAGGTGGAAAGCCCCAGCTTTTAAAGTTTGTTTTAGACTTCATCCTTTCCTGTCTATTTGGGGCACCAGAAGTTTAACAGATTGAGGCATAAAAGGTTGCAGTATTTGCAGCCTTGCTAAAAGTGTAAACATCAGATATGCTCGGGTGAGCTTGAGTAAGAAAAGCAATTCACAGCTGAGTTCTGGAATTCTTTGTGACTCAGAAATGGAAAAACGCCCACAATTTGCAGTGACTTCATGACCCTTCAAAACTACTTGCAGAACAAGGTTATATTGAGGTTAAGAGGGCTATCTCAAGAATCGTTTCCTAAACTGGTATCTTTCACATCTGTTGGGACTTAGAATCTGAGCTAGCATAACCATTCATGATGCTGGGAATTCTGGGAACTGTAATCCCAATACAACTGGAGATTGTCGGTTTTGGGAAGTGGTTTTCAAACTCCACCTCAACACAACTTGCTTGTAAACATTGTTGGCGTTCCATCGTTGCCTTGGGTCAATGGGACATTTGAGACATCTCTCACTAGGAAAGGCTGGACTCTAAGGGATCAGTGGCAAAGCTGCTTCCCAAGTAATCAAACTCAGCTATTCTGCAGCTTTCCGTTTTGAAATGTGGCATGGGAGAAAAAAACTTCCTTCAGGCTTTTTCTGATTGGTGACTCTCTGCTTCTCTTCCCAGCATCCCTTTTACACCATTCATTTGGATGGAATGAAAAGGGAAAGTGACTCAAATGTCTACCATACTTTAAATACGTTAGTAAGGCATAAGAAAAAAACTACTTGCTTGCCCAATCTCCAGAGTCTTTTTGTTTATTTCTGTTTTGAAGACGCCTTGGCACGAACCAGTCCCACAATGATCTGCTTTTCTTCAGCTGCCATCCCCTCTCTAATTCTCACACAAGAATGCATACAGGTTTATGGCTGCCCATTTGGTTCTCCATGCCTCTAACCCCCCCCCCCCCAAGTCCTTTGATGATAGGATGCCAGAGCGGGCGCCAAACTGAAATTGGTGGACCTGACATATGGTATAAAACACAAAAAAGAAATTATTAAAGTGGAAATGTGAAAAGTTCTTCACCTAGTCCTGGAAAAACAGTCAAAGGACTTCTGAAGAAAGCATTCCATGGATTCTATCTTGCCTCATTGGGCGAGAAGCTTCAGGTGAAGATCTTAGATCCAGCCAGTTAAATGCCTAAACCATTTATTTGCAACTCATTCCAGTAAGGTTCGCACGGGTGAGGTTATGGCTTCGCATTTTCTGCAAGCTGAGCCAAAATGAGAATGAAGGTCTTTTAACATGCCCTTGCTTAATTCCAAGACATCCATTAAGTGGTGGAGCTCATTTAACCTTGATTTATTCAAGGCTTCTTCCCTATTGCCAGGACAAGCTGTACAGCACCATGGTATGAAAGAGAAGCGTTAAGGTGGACCAAACTGATATCCAGCAAGCACCTGTTTCAGAGATGCAGGAGGGAGTCTTTTACAACTATGATATAAATGATGCGTGCCTACTCAGGTGGTGAGACACCGGGAGTATCCTACTCAAGGATCACCTTTTATTTCATGGGAATAAATGCACTAGTTTTAACTTGCTCTCAGAACTGAAAGCCAGGGCTTATCAAACGACGATCTCCAGAATCCTAGGGTGGGATCCACAAGAATTTGATAGGTTCTGTAAGGGACAAGAGCAAAGAGTTCTTGATCGGGTGTTCCACAATTTTTTTTAACTACAGGTAGTCCTCAACGTACAACCAAAATTGAGCTCCAAATTTCTGTTGCTAAGTGAGACAGTTGTTAAGTGAGTTTTGTACCATTTTACAACCTTTCTTGCCACGGTGGTTAAGTGAATCTCTGCAGTTGTTAAGTTAGTAAGATGCTTCCCCATTGACTTTGCTTATCAGAAGGTCACAAAAAGATCCCGGGACAGTGCAACCATCATAAATATGAGCCAGTTGACAATCTTTTGAATTTTGATCACGTGGCCATGGGGATGCTGCAACGGTCATAAGTGTGAAAAATGGTCATAAGTCCTTTTGTCAGTACTGTTGTAACTTTGGTCACTAAACAAACTGTTATAAGTCGAGGATTACCTATAACAGATTCCAGCCCTGAAAAGGTACTGAAAAGCTGTAATACAGATGAAATTCCTTCTAATTTCAAATTATTGACACCCTGCCTTTCTGCTTGCCACTGTGTGACCATTTTCAAGAATTAAACATATCCTTCAAATGTACAGTATAAACAAAGCACCAGATCTTAGGACCTGGTCATCCTTCCATTGACTTGTTTTTGTTCAATTCTTCAGTACTCAGTCATGTCCTGCTCTTCACGATCCTGAGGACCATAGCACACAAGCCCCTCCCCCATCCTCCACTGTCTCCTGTAGTTTACCTAAATTCATGTTCATTGCATCGATGGTACTGTCTAACCATCTCATCTTCTGCTGTCCCCTTTTGCCTTCAGTCTTTCCCAACATCTCATTAGGTGGCCAAAGTATCTGAGCTTCAGTATCTGATTGTGTTATGAGCCAGGTCGCCTAGGCAGAAGCAAGCATCAGTGGAGTCCTTTATTGCTTTGATTAAAGACCACAACAAACGGCCCTGCAATGGCCTGGTAAGGCTCCATGCCACACTACCCTGAAGGCAGCAACCCTCAGTCCCCAAAAGGCAGTAAACAACAAAGGATGTCCAAAGAGAGGGTGCAAGCTCACAGGGCAAGGTCCAGAATCCAGGCACAAAAGCTGAAGGCAAGTCCACAGGGACAAAGGCAAGTCCACAAGGGAAAGCGAGTCCACGAGGCAAAAGGCAAGTCTGGACATTTTGACTTTAAACAGCACCTAGAATTTTTCTTTTCCTTTATTCCATG